ATCAATTACAGTTTAGGATATCGTTCTTGAATTAGTGAAAAATAACAGTACTTTTATGTCTTTTGGTACATCTATGAAATATGCGATATTAATGGCAGTAACTTATGACTCCTTGTGTTGATATTCATACCAGCACCTAGGCTGAAAGTCCTACGCGCCTGCTGAGTAAACGGTTACATAGTTTAGAATCCTACGTTCTTGTAAATATAATAAAGGTAACCTGCACTACTTCCGAGAACGGTCGGCTGCCTAGGTTTCTAGGAAAATTTTAAGTCTGTATTTTATTTGCTGGATTCAGACGACTGTAAATAAATAGAATTTTGAAGCGTCACAGAACACGAAATGTCAGGATATCGTCAACTTTGAACAGGAAAGCCGACATAATTTACTTCTTTCAATGCGTGTTCTTTACGTCTATAAAACAGTGTTTAAATATATAAAATGATGACCTCTTCCACGGTTACACAGCTGAGGCAATTTAACTAGCAACAGATAGGCCTACATCCGAAAACTCGATGTCTTTTGTGCATGAGAACTCCACTTACAAAATTAAATTAAAACTGAAGTGGTAAAGAAACTTGACTGTGACGTCGGAATTTTGTGCAATAATTTTCGGTATAGGGCATGCCTTCAGTCCTGCATGTTCCACTTTTGTGTTTACTCCTTGCTTCAAGATTATTTTTACTTATCCGATGAAGTAGACACAAATTTTCCCATAAAAGGAGCCATAACTATGCTTTATTTTACTACAAACACGTTATTGTTCCCTTCGGTTTACGATTCTGATTACAATGCAGATTCATGATCCATACTCGCCATGAGTGTAGGCAGCGTCTCCGACACGTGTGTGGAGAGCATACTCTAAAGATTCGTTTGTGTGCAACGAAAGCTAATTAAAATTCATACCAGATTCTCAGAAATATGATGAAACTTTTCTTATCACAGAGCTGTTTTAACCATTACAATACTTACATTCAAACGTATCTTTCGACCCACACGCTACCTTCATGCTAGTTGTAAACTTACACATCCTTAAAATAAATTTATCTTTAGTTATAGTCCTTCACAGATTTGTTTAATTGCGCGCCACCAAATTTCTGTTTTTTACATACCACAAACAAACCTTTCGACTGTGAACGTATATCACTCGCCATAAGTCTACGCACATAGCTGGGGCGTACGAGAGCGCGACACAATGCAGTTTTGCGTCTCATTCGAACTCAGGGTCATGTTTTTTCTGCTATACAGATCGAAATGAATTACGAAGGCTGGTGAACTCACCTCAAGGCCGAATTGGTCGTACTGGCTCTGCAGCTCAGGCCCCACCGTCTCCAGCAACTGTCTCCGTTCTTCTGCGAAATCTGTCAAAAGGAAAGAAATAAATTACATTTTTGTTGGTTGTAAAGTGATTTTGAGACCGGGACAACCGAAGTTTGATTCCCGGTATCTAAAGGTAATTTTCCCTTCCCTTCCCTTTGGCGTTGGTGCTAAAGCGGTCTCCAGCGATACCAGGCATTTTCGTGGTTGTAGCGGGCGGATCATGAAGTTAACTATTCCCTCCCAAAAGATGACGTCCAGAATTCACGGAGTTGTACAGCTACTGTTTATATTTGTCTTTACGCCGTGGTGCTTAGGCGCAGGGGGAATTTATTCTTCTATATATAATCTGACTTTTACTCCACAAAGAAACATCGAGTCTGATGATTCCTGTAATCTCTCAGTTATTACGCACTCCTTCCAGCGGAATTAGATTTAACAGGACCGCTTAATCCGCCATCACATATGATTGTATTTTGCTGTGGACCATTTACAGCACAGAATCCTTGACAAAGCCATTACGATTTCTTAATGAGAGTTCTTCTTTGGAAATAATTGTCGCTCATCTGGTTAAGAAATCCGCAATCGTTTTATGGCAGCCGAATGTACATCACGAAACCCGCTAATGGCCCTGTTACAAGCCAGATGAATCTACTCTTCATTCAAAATTCTATAATTGTATAACTTACTTGTTAACTATTTCTAAAATCCTATTTCTTTGAGATACCTTTTAATATTATTCTCCCATTAACACACAAGAGTAAAAATTATGAAGTATTTTATTAGGCACTTTTCTTTGTCCTGCTGTTACTTCTGTTTTAGATGCAATAATTTTCCTCAACACTCTGACCCCAAAACCCCTCAACCTATTATTATTTTATTTAGTAAGGCAGATTTTGTTAGATTTCCTGTTCACTTACAACCTTTAACTGAAATGAACGACTTTATCTGAAATGAACTTAATACGCGTACATCATACGAGGTGCGATCGGAAAGTTTCCAGACTGTGTCAATAGAGGGCGAACCGGATGTAGTACGAGCTTCTGACGCTAAGGG